AGTTGAAGGTGGTTATCTTAGTGGGATCTATCATCTAGGAACATTCTAGGAAGTCCATGGTGATTGAATAAAGTATAAATAGGATTAGCTAGGGCCTTTTGGGACATCTGGTCAAGTATGGCTTCAGACCTTTTTTCTTAATATAATTGGATTTTATATCTTCCTATTTTTTTCCATTCCATTCTAACTCTAGTAATTCAATTTTGTCTTTTGTGTCCCATTCTATTTAGTTCTGTTTAGTTGTGTACTAGTCCAATTAGTCCTACCTTGTGATGAGGTTTTATGTTGTTGTGGATTAGAAGGATCTTCGATACTTGAGATAGACCAATCTTGTTTCATTGAGGCATGTTCAAAACAATTGGTATATAGTATAAAACTAGTTGAGAATAATCAACAAAATAATACTACTTAATATCCTTCTTTGTTATTTAAGAAATTATTTGGCTTCTTGGTTTATATAGTATTTTATAAAGTTACTTCTAATTACATGCAATAGTCTTATACAACTACTAGACACAAAGAAGGATATAGACCAAACTTTTAAATTAATGATTAATACAATTAATATCAGTAGATTTATAATGATATAAAACTATAGAATATATTTAAGATAATAATAAATAAAAAGAAAAGATTAAGATAATAATAATTTTTTAATTAAAATATTTACATATATTAGTAATCAAATATAAAGTAACTTAAAGATATATATGAACTATAATATAACTAAGATAATAAGCCAAAATTGTAAGATTTTTAGCTTTCAATATATATATATATATATCTTATCAATACATGCTATATATAATCTTGTAGTTTTTTAAGTTTTTCTACCACTAATAGATAGAATATAAGAATATTACAAAATTAACATTGAAGATAAAAATTACATTATAATAAATCATAAAAATGAAGATTTTTATGTATGATGCAACGAAATCCATATAAGAGAAGTCATATAGATTGCAAATGACAAGATAATGAGTTTCCTATTATATATTGATTACTTGCAAAAAAAAAAAAAAAAAACCTTTTATATTGCCAAAAATATAATATTATTAATTAATACACCACTTTTGGCTAAAATGTAAAATAGCAAGTTTACAAAACAATTAAGTAAATCTAAAACACTCATGTATTATATGATTTAATAATAATAATCTATTTAGATACTTATAAAACTTCTATAAATTGAGTACTTTGACAATAAGCAAAATTAAAGTATTTAAATATTATTATGGTAATATGTATATATATATATATATATATATATATATATATATATATAATTAATTAAAAGCTATATAAAAATAAATATGAAATTGCAATAGTCTCTTATTTGATTAGTGATTAGTATGTAAATTGAAAAAGATAGAAATTATTAAGAATATAATCAATTAGTGAATTGAATTTAATTTGAGACCAAGTTGATAATACTAACTTTACATTGTATATATAAACTTCAATAGTAACACATGCCAAAGATATAAATTCAAATATATATATATATATATATATATATATATATATATATATATATATATATATATATATATATTCACATCTGATTAAGTAGAAAAAAGAAAACATAGATAAGATAAATAGATAGAAAAAAGCTAGAATTATTATTATCAAATACAAAGAAACTTGAAAATCTTGAATTAAGATGAAAACATAAAAAGGTATTCATATGATTGAGAATAATCTCTATGTTGCCTCAATGTATAGAAGCTATATATGAAGTGTAGTAAAAACTTCTTAAAGACCATAAGGCTTGTAGTCTAAGCATCCAAGTTATAAATAGCTTTTAATGTGGCTTTTCAAAAGTAAGAAATTTATAGAATATATTTGAATAGTCATGTGGCATATGTAAAATAATATAAATGTTTAACTGGTTCATGAAAAACATCTTTAAGATTTCTTGAAAGAAGAGATTATCAACTTAACATCTTATTATCTACTACTACTTTTCTTTACTTCTTATAGTCTAATATATCTCTATATATAGTAAATTTTCTTTTTAAATATTAAAAAGGATCTAAATGACATAGGTTCATGGCATCTTTAAATTATTATTTTACCATATAAAAATTATATGGTTTCTAATATAAAGGCTTTTATGGATAAGCAAATACTATGGATGACTTTGAATAATATTCCAAGAAGATAATTTATACAAATTAATAATAATACCCTCCAAAAAATATATATATAATTTATCTTTAGATAGAATTTTTAAATATATAATATTAGTAATAATTTAATATATTTAATAAATAATAAAAATATTATAAAACATAATAGAGTTAGTTATGAATCAATCTTAAAATTATAAAAAAAAATTAAGAATTATTAAAGAAAATAATTTTTAAGAATAGATTATATTTTGAAGATTTTATTTTTAGTATAAAAAATATAAGTTTATTTAAGATCATTAAAAAAATAACATTGTAGCATTAGAAACATTTGAAAAGCTACACATAAATAATATGGCAACTTTTTAAAACAAAATTCTCTTATATTGTATTAGAAAAGATGTAGCTTCATCATATCTCTATCTTATAATATTTATTATCCAATTTCTTTCAGCTTCTTTTAGACAATCTTTAGAAAAAATAAATATCTATTATTTTAAAGATCTACAAGTTGTTAGTCAAATACATCTAATTTGGTCAACTACATGGTATAAAGTCTACTTTAATTTGTTTTTAAATTATATATTTTTTTAAATATAAAATCTAAAAATATTATTTAAAAAAATTAAGATGCCATCAAAAATTGAGGGAAAATTAGAAGTTGTTTATTAAAACCTTCAAAAGAACCTACATAACATACATATCTATAAGATATTTAAATATATATATATAACATTAAGACATAAAGATTAGAGAATCAAATCTAAAAGAAGATATAAGATACATGGAGACAAATCTTTTAATTTTTCTTTTCAAGTAATAAAAGAAATGCATCCTTGATCTTATATTTTTTAACTACTTATTATTGAAGAACTCTACAAATTTATTAGTAAAACGAAAAATTATAAGGCACTAAGGTTTGATAAAATAGATACATAGTTCTTCAAGTTTATACAAATTGAAGTAAAAATCTAAACATTATATTAGTATTAATGAAAGATCAAAAAATAATTTATCTTAGGTCTCAAAGAAGTCTAATTTTTTAAGAAAGGATGATTATATAAGAGTTTTTGTAAAATTGATTGCTTTTTAAATTACAAAAATATTATTTTCCTTGAATTTCAAAAAAAAAAGAAAAGAAAAAAAAAAAGACAAGAGTGCCATCTAGTTTTATACTTATTCATGATTGTAGGAGAAGTTTTAAGTAATATTAATCAACACGTGATCAAAGATAATTATACGAGTTACATTTTCTTTCTAAAAAAAGAAAGGGGGGGGAAAAAAAAAAAAAAAAAAAAAAAAAAAAAAAATCATCTTTGACTATATTGAAGAAAGTTTAATTTTAATAATTGAAAGTGAAGAGACTAAAGTATATAATATGGTTGATATACTTTTTAGATTTAGTATAGTCTTAAAACTTAAATTCAACTAACCTAAAATCTAATAGATAAGCAAAGTCAAAACAATGTAAAGACCACTATAAACATTATAAAAATCTATGAATTCTTTTTGGATTATCTCTTAAAACCTAAAATGTCAATTTTTTCTTATAAATAAGGTACAACAAAATTTTAACTTAATAATTTGCTAAAATTATTGTGGCTTGAGGTATGATTATTATGAATTATATCTTTATACTTTATCATATTTTTGTATGGTCAAGGTAACAAAAAGTACTCAATATAAACTTCAATCATGCTAAAGAAATTTCTATGTCGCACCACCTAAATTTTACATTAGTCTAAAATGTTATAAATGTTTTATTCCAAATTACCTAAAGCTCAACATTTGGGCATCATAGATCTATAAAAGCCTCAATGGCACTATTCTTAAAATGGATAGATAAAGTATTATTACCAAGAGAGTCAAATATGATTATTTTCTTAAGATATAGATTATAATAATTTTATCCATGCTCTTAGAAATTAATAGTTTGATTTTACATGCTACTAAGTAATAATCATGAATAGAACAGAGATTCCAAAAATTATCTAGGAATAGCAAGATCATGAACTAAGATGCTTCTTAACTTCTTATATTTCAAATACATCTACATTTTTCTAACATATAAGAAAAGAAAAGAAGTTGAAGGAAAATTTGCATCTCTATTTAAATGACTATCAATTCTAGCATTAATTGATAAATTCTTATCCTAGGTAATAACAACATCCATTACATACTATCATGTTATCTTCTAAGATTTATAACTGGATTGATTTATATGCCACAAAAGATGGTTTCTTGCAAGAATTTGTTTTTCAAATAAGTAATTGCAATTTGCAATTATCCAAATACCATTGGTATATCATGCCTAGATTAACCAAGATAAAAAATAAAAATAAAAATAAAATATATATATATATATATATGTATATATATATAGTTGGAAGACAATCTTAGATTTTTTTTTCTATAATGGACATTCTATAACATTTGACTTTTAGATAGGCGTAAAAATTGAAAGATGAATACAATTGTATCCGAAGATTTATCAAAATAATTTAAATAGTTAGAAATAAAAAAATATAAAAACTATTAATACATGATATAGTGGCAAATCTACAATTTGATTCTAATCCACATTAGTAGTCAATTGATCTATTTCTAATAACTTATAATGCCAAACTTGGAAGAAAACTTTCACAAAGTATGAATAATCTAGAGAGAAACTAAAAATAATTTTCAACCTTAATTGAAAAAAATGCATAATTTAAAGTAAGAGCCAAAATAAATCAATTAAATATATGGCTTCATCAAATAATTGGAGCTTAGAATTTTACAAATTTGTGGGTTAAATAAAGACACAAATATACTTATGTTACAGAGTGCTCCAATCTAAGAATACATGAAGGTCCGGACTTTGAGATCAATAAATTTCTGGCAGCTGTTTTCTTTTTTATTATTCAAAGCATTACCAAAAGCAAAATAGTACAAGAACTCAGATTTCCCATCTAAGCTTATTCTCGAAAAAAAAAACACTCGCATTGAAAGTTCTAATGCGAGTCATGCATATTTTAGTGACTCTCTTAGTGTACACCATGCACGTATTCTACGTGCACTTCAACTCCGTGGCATGTTGGCCATATAATACAAGCGTTTGCAAATTTTGTATCTTACTCAAAACTATGTTCTATTTAATTAGGCTAAAATTAGGCCTAAATCCTATACTACAGAACCAGAGGGTTTCAAAGAAGCGATACCTTTACAGCCTCCAGTACAGACCCCTCCAACGTTTCGATCGACGTCCTCATGGAAGTCCCCGCCGGTGACATCCCGGTCTCTGTGAGAAGCTCCAGCGTCTCCACCACCTTGTGCATAGTGGGCCTGTCTTGAGGTTTCAAAGAAATGCAATGGCAAGCAATTTCCAGCAATAATTCAAGCTCTACACTCGGGACAGTATCCCTCAGATTCTTGTCGACCACTTCCATAGATTTACCGGTGCTGTTAAGCTCCCGGACCCAGCCAGCGAGATTCGTGTAGTCGTCCGACATGTCCTCGTCCACTGCCCTTCGCCCGCTTAGAAGCTCAAGCAGTATCACGCCGTAGCTGTAAACATCCACTTTCTCTGTGGCCCGACCTGATTTGGCGAACTCTGGCGCTACATAACCAAATGTCCCGCCCACGGTTACAGTAACGTGGGAATCGTTCATCGTCAACAACTTCGCCAAGCCGAAATCTGAAAGATAGGACTCGAAATCTGTGTCGAGAAGAATGTTGGTGGAGCTGACGTCACCGTGAATAATGCGAGGGTCACAGCCATGGTGGAGGTATGCAAGTCCCCGAGCCACTCCAAGTGCCACCCGGTAACGGATCGGCCAATCAATGATAACATTCTCCTCTTTGTCACCTAAATTATTGGAACAACACAATCACAAATCACCAGACGATGTCCGTGATCGTAAGCTCAATGAACATTTAAAGATTTGAAGAATTGTGAGAAAATTTCACAACTCGAAATGTATCCATGATTGATGGGAATCTTACCATAGAGGAGTTGATCAAGATTGCCGCCTGGCAAGTAGTCGTAAAATAAGAGCTTCACATTAGGTCCGGAGCAGAAGCCCTTGAGCTTCACCAAGTTCCTGTGCTTCAAGGTTCCAAGAGTATCTAGCTCGTTTTCGAAGCTTCGCTCAGACTCCAGGCAAATCTTAAGTTTTTTAACCGCCAAGGGCGGGTAGCCCGGAATCTCTAACTTGTAGACAATTCCGTAGCCACCCTCTCCAATGATATGGTTTTTGCGAATTTTTCTTAGGGCTTCTAGCATCTCCTTGGAAGAGGGAACACTCTGGACTCCTTGAAACATGACTATCTTGCCACCTGACACCCAAAGAAGTAATGATATATCAGAAAATGAATCATTTCGTGCTCAAAGTATCAAAAAATTAATGCCTGAAGAGCTTGTCAAATTTTAAAATAAAAATAATATCTGAATAGGCATTCGATTACAAGTTCGGTCTAACGGTGCAAACCCGTTCCAAGGTTGATTTCGATCTTATTATCTTTCTTCATCCAGCGCATGATGAAAATTGCGGCAATTATGAACTTAAATCCGAGAAACAACCCCACCGACAGGAGCACGATCTGTACCACGCTTAAGGAAGACGTGGCTCGAACTAGACACAGCAATGGAAGGTGACAATGGTGGGAGAGCCAACCAAAAATGTTAAGTAGGGCATGAAACTGAAAATTACACATCTTGATATAAACTTATACAGGACTAAAACCCAAGTCTAGAAATTGTGTTAAAGTTGAACGTACTACTAAAGTAAGTGTGAAATGCAAACATCCAACTCAAGAACATACCTGGAGATACCGACGGTGAAAGGACAGGGGACAGTGAGCAAGCGGGAAGTCCTACTCCATCGTCTACACATAAATTTGCATTCCCCGAGTAACTGTAGTGCAACCCCAACACCAAACATGCAAAAGCGATTCACATTAGAGTATTGAAAAAAATGTGTTTTATTTCATGTGTGAGAAACTAATGATTCAAAAATCTTCGACACTATCGATCAAGGAAAAGCTATACATGTTCCATTCTGCTGCTAGTCGTCAACCACAAAGCGTCGAGGTTAAGAAAAAGAATAATCTTTACAAAAGATGCAGCCATACATTATATGAGAAACGACTTACGAGGATAAATTGAAGTTCAATAGAGCTCCCTGTGGAACCCTTCCAATGAGTTGGTTGTTGGATAAGTTGCTGCAACAGGAATAGAATCATTTCAACGCATGGTCAACATGTTTTCTAACGTAATCTACCATAGTTAAGACCCTACAAACTGAGCAGAATGCGAAATATTAGTTTGTGTGGTAAGAAGCAGTAAAATATACTGACATGAGCGAGGATGAAGTTCCGGGTAAGTAGGACTTACAAGTAAGACAAACTTGTTAAATTACTGAAACTTTCTGGGATTGGACCTTCCAGCTTGTTCTCCGCCAAATCCAGCACTTGGAGATCTATCAGCGTGCCTAAAGCCAGTGGAATATCCCCAGAAAGAGAATTGTGACGCAAATTTCTGTGTTCGAACCCACACAACTGATCAGTAACAGAATTGGGACACATACTATCCTGACGCAGTAAAACTGCCAACTACGGCCGCAAACCCTATAAAAAACGATTTCACGTAGTTTTGATAATACAAGAAGAAGGCGTCACGTACAAGATCCGCAAGTTCGTAAGGTTGCTGAGAGACTTTGGAATTTTTCCCATGAAGTCGTTGTGATCGAGACTCCTGTAATAGTCGCCACAAATTTGAGCATGGTAGTATTAAAGACCAACCCACAACAAAGAGAGAACACGAACGAATAACGTAGTGTGAATTCGTGAGCTCAGGCGTAAGAAGGGAATTACTTACAATCGTTCTAAGTACTTCAATCCCCCCAACTGAGGAGCAATAGTCCCGCTTAGATTCAGAAACGGGAGGTCACTACAAACATACGAGAACAGTCAATACATCGTAATAAACTAGATGTAAGCGTCAATATCATGATAAGAAGATTCTGAATGAAGCAGCTAAAAGTGAGTTGGCTCGAGTTTCATTAGCGTACATGAAAGTGACGAAGTGTGTAACATTGCTGCAAACAATCCCATTCCAGTTGCAGGGAGTTGTATCTGAATCGTTCCAGTTACTGAAGACTCCCCTAGGGTCATCTACGCGTGCTTTGAAGGCTAGTAGCGCAGCTTTATCAACGTACAGTGCCCCGGAGACCCTAAAATGCACTGCGAGGAGGAGAAAGACAAATCGAAACAACTCAATCGGCGCACCATTCTTGAGCATTCTTGCCTTAATCGTCATCATCCGAACCCTAATTTTTACTACCAATTAACACTTTCAACTCTTACGCTTCTACTGGAATCTTGCATTCATACAAATAGAAGGCTGTCTCCAAGGGTCTTCGCTGAGAACCCTGCCAACCTTACGATTCCCTGAGACACTAACGGCAAAATCTTAACTCTGCCCGAAAAAAAAACACATAGTCAACTTTGTCTAGAATCAACTCCAAGTGCCAAAAATCCCCCATCAGAAATTCCCGCCTATATTCTGCTCTCCAATGTCCCACAGAATTCTCAATCCGAAGCTCCCAAAGAAGCTATAACCGCTGCAACGGAAATTCAAGCTGGAATTCGAACATCACCCTACCCGATTCCTGCTCAACTACCTCGACTAAGTGCAAAACCAATCTGCAATAACAGTTGCAAAAATAAATCCCACCAACACCGAAAAATTGTTAACCAAATCAGTGTCATTCTCAAGTGAGCTGGGTATCGTAATCCCAACACCGCGCGTTCGTGAGGCGGAAGAACAGAAACGAATGGGAGAATCGAGCTACCAGACAACAAACAGGCAGAAGATCGTCACCGAGTAAAGCTACCAAATCCACTTGGGCATGGATTTGGACGGCGAGTGGCTCTAACCAAACGATGAGGAATCGCAAAATCAGCAAAAGCGCAGCGATAATAATCTGTCTAGCCATCATCTCGCCTGTGGGCCTGGTCATTTGCAAAAGCCGAGGACCTCGCCCGCACGGAGTGCACACTTGGAAGGCCAAAAAGGCCTCTACATGTCATCGCCGCAGTGGGCGGCACACAGCCCTAGAACCACTCCACAATCCATTGCCGCCGCCGCCGCCGCCTCGCGTTCCTCAACGCCGGCGGTCGTCCACGGCCGTCAGCGGCTATCTGTGCCAGACGGCGGTACCCTGCCGTAGTCCCATCCGACATGCCTACCGCCTACACACGTCACTCTGCGTCTGCGTCAGTTGACGGCATCGTGGGGCTCGAGTTACACACTCGTGGCCATTACTAAGATTCTCTTCCTCAAAATTTGTGCTGCGATATGTGTATATTAATAATTTTTATATAACATCTCTTGGCTAAAGGATTCATTGCTTGGTGAAGGTGAGAGGATGGAAATGGATGGGGAGGTGATATGGAGGAAATTGTGGACCTAACATATAGAAGATTTCTTCGGGGAAATGGGAGGTGAAAACTATCCCATGTTAATAAAAAAAAAATCATGGATGAATGAGCTCATTGTGCCCCTTATGAAAGAAAAAAATTGTTGTCATGTCATGTTTAGCAGGTATCATGTAGTATGTTGCTCTGATTCATCAATGCACATCTCTGATCTATATTCTCTATAATCAAATTTTTTTTTTGAATACATTAAAAAAAAAAAAACAAAACAAAACAAAAACAAAAACGAGTTCAATATTTTGCTGGATTCACCTTTGAAATCCTATAGTTATGGTGTGATTTTTTTGGTGATTTTCCACCCCCCATTTTATGAGGCTAACACCTACAAAATAAAAATGAGAAAGTAGTCATTTAGAGAAATAAGACTGTTTAGAAACTAGAAAGAAATTACCTTAAAATATGATTTCTTTTAATATATTGTTTCTCTTGACAATCAAAGATTTCAGTAGTAGTTCATATTGTACAATGTATAATTTAATCGATTCACATATTAGTTTTCAAAGAGTAAATCAATAAACAAAAAAAACGTAATTAAGGAGTTATAAAGTGATTATTAAATAATAAAAAATAGTATACAGGATTATCAACTTTTTTATATATAGATTACTATGATTCAAATGACATCCTAGAATAAAAGGTATGAATTTTAATGACCTTCTCATCTAAAGAACTACATTCCATTTTTAGAAACATATATGCATATATATATTCTCTGAAAAAACACCCATTTATAATAAATAATAAATTCTAAATTGGTAACATCTTCTAAGAAAAATTAAGTTTATGTCAAAGTAATGCAATTTTAAAATCTTGGACATGGATAATAGTTTGTTCCTACCACATTACAAATTTGTCAATTAAGTTTAAATTATAATGATCCGTAATTTTAGAAATAACACTTTCTTACTTTTATTTACTTGTTTATATATATATATATATATATATATATATATATTGAATATGCAAATGAGTTGTAGGTATAATCTTAACTGTAGCCCAATAAATTTGGTCAGCAAGACTTATGTTATGCCATTTATGAAATCAAAATTGTGTGACAATTGACTTATATTTTAAAAAATAAACAGAATGTTTGGAATATAACAATACATCAAGAAACTTGTTGTCATACAATCAAAGTTTCCATGTATGATCCGGTGATGAGGTATCCATTTCCAAGGACGGGGTGTTGGCAGCCAACACGTTTTGTTCGCCGCATTGGGGCCACACGATTGCTGCTGGTGCTGCCGTGGGCGAGTTCCTCTGTGGGCCATCAATGTCAATGGATTGCACTGTAGAGTGCAGACCCTACACCACGGAATTCTTCTGAGTCACACATGATTCAGAAAAAAGTTTCACTTTATTCTGCTGGGGATCAGATCCTGGGGCCCAGAAGGTTCTTGCGAAGCCTCCTCGTTAGAAAGTAGCAGTTTCTTCTTTGGGGCCGAAACTGACAACGCTCGAGATTCTTCTTGAAAGGCAGCCAACGCCGTCCAGCTCGCGCGCAGGCCGAGCCCCCCCTCAGACGATGTTCGTGGGTGTTTTTTCTATTCTAATTGGCTGGAACTGGCTGAAACTGGCTCTCGCCACCGTAGGCGCTTCCGTTTCGATTTCATTCGACTCTGCGTTTCTCATCCGCCCTCATTTCAGCGACACGTAGTGTCAGAAATGTTGAGTTGAAGTTTAATGAAGGCTCAATGGGGCTTATCTAATTCGGAGCCTGGGATGTGCTGGTCGCAGGATATGGGAATGGAAACATTGGCCAGCGACAGGCAACCGTGCGCTATGTGAACCACCAAAAGTTCAAAAAGATCCGTTTTGTCGAGCTCTTAAACTAGATCGACATCATGCCAAAAAGAATTTTATACTTTGCAAGGGTGCTTGTGGACTAGCTCTGCAGTTCTGCCAAGTTAAGGCTGCCTACTTTTCTGGGTGCATGTGTCTACTCCCTCGGCCACTCGTGATTCAGAACCTCCATCACCATGGACCCAATCTCAGCTGTTTCAGGACCTGAACTCGTCGAAAATCTTATAGAATTTGGGATTCCTTCAATCATATCACCTGGTTGATTACTTAGGTTCGCCCTTCGAAGGACTCGAGAAAGGTTGTATACTTTTAGTATACTAATAACGGCAGCTGTGCACCTAGGATACTTGTTCTACCCTTTGGTGAGATTTAATGAAGAACCTCTGGGTGCCTCTATTGAAGATTAAAAGGATGACATGGAGAATTGTGACGTAATGTTGTGGATTGAGCATAATCTAGGGTGAAAGTAAACAGGACGTATTTAGTTTGACATGTGAACACAAACTGGAAAGGAATCTGACTGTGCAAGTTGGCAAGCTTTTCAGATGGATTACCATGGAAGAGTTTGTCAATATTTTAGAGCTGTCTGAGTCGCTCACCCATTGAACTATGATGAAATTGTAGTCCCGGAAATCATCATCGTTGGGGCGCTTTCCAGTCAAAAGCTCAAGAAGCACTACAAAGCCGTACACATCGCCTTTTTCTGTGATTTTCCCAGTTTCCAAATACTCTTCAAGTCGAATTTTGACACCATCGACGACGGTAAGAGAGGAACATAACGCATAAAAATATAATGGCTAGACATATCTAAGTAGAAAAAGAAATCGAACCTGTTTCTTTCGATAAAGTCAAATGTGAGCATTTTCGACACCCTTAGTTGTTTCTTACCCTGGAGGCAAGTATCGGAAAGTTCCTGCAGCCATGGTGGTCACATGGGTTTTCTCAGGGCTTACGAATTTTGCAAGCCCGAAGTCCCCAACGTGGGCCTCCATATACTCATCCAGAAGAATGTTGCTACACTCGATGTCGCGATGGATAATGTGGGGAACGCAATCGTAGTGCAAGCAACTCAATCCTCTGGCAACACCTAACGCAATTCGAAGGCGCAATCCCCAGTTGATAGGATCCTCATTCCGGCTTGCGTGCTCTACGACACCAATAATATTCATTAATTTAACGTCAACCAACACGTAAATCTGTTCCCCTGAAAGGCCTCTAATACAGAAAAACTTGAGTTCTTCAAAATTAAGTCCCAACCAGCAAGTTATGAACACATTACAGGAGAAATAGCTGATGGTGTCTACCATGCAGCACGAAATCTAGATTGACATTCCGCATCAGGTCGTAGATAAATATGTTAATCTGGGGTGCGCTATAGTACCCTCGCAACGTCAATAGATTTCTATGACTTATGTCTATCAAGGTTTGCAGCTCTCGCTCAAACCCTTGGTCACGTTCCAGTACGCCCCTGGTGAGTTTCTTCACAGCGAACGCGGACAAGTCATCCAAGACTAACTTGTAAACTGTGCCATAGCCTCCACTACCAATGATGTCCTGCGGTTTGAGCTTCTCCACTTTTCGGAGAATAGCTTTCGCTAGAGGAGTCGCTTGCCCCGTTAGCTGGAACATTATCATTCTCCCGCCTGTGCAAATTAAAAAACTACGGGTCAGATCCCAGTAAGGCGAACGATCTCTGCAGCTGGTTCCATTGGCTTCCCATGTTACAGAAAAAGGACACAACGCCGTTCTTCAGTGAAAACAAACTGAACCATTCTCCTTACCTTATAATTTCACTTCGCAATAGCTCCTAATCTTCTTCCGCCGGCAGTACCAAATCGAGAAGAGAATACTTTTACTCACCACAAATGCAGCAACGCAGATAGCAGCGATCATCCCAGCGCTCAATTCGTTTCCTCTATCGTTGCTGGGATTGTCCGTTGAAATACCTCCACGTTTAATGTTATAAATTCGTCTTCAAACGATCTGCGCTTGCTCATCACATTGCTACATCTTTAACTTAGAAATTGAACAAAGCTGTGAAGGTGTTCTAAGAGTGATTTTATTTGATAGCGAATTCCGCTGTAATTGGCACTTAGTTATGTGCTTTTCTTGATTGTCGGAGTCGAAAATGTGGCATTTTGTAAGGAGGCATGCGATGCAAACCATTTGTGTCTGTTATGATCCACAACAATGTAGATTCATTTGTGAAAAATTCTTTTATGTTAGATCATGACTAACATGTTGTACGCAGTTCCTATGCTTGTCTGTTAGAAGTCTGAAAACAACTTGTCCATTTCAGTTTATGTACCTGGAGAAGCCTATGCAACCTCAAATGAAGATCGACAGTTTGTTGGATATCCACACAGTTTTTCGTTTCCCACCAACCTACACCAGAGCGTAGGTTCGAAATATAGCTTAACCCTTAAATCCTTGTCATGGGTCAGGATTAGACCCAAACCCCTCTATTTGATTCTTCCGCAACGGCAGAAAATGAAAAGAAGTTGGAACGCAGAGTTGTCCTTCAATTTCATAAACAACGGTGCACACTTACGAAACGTCATCGAACGAAGATAGTATTCTTTGGGGCAGAGCGCCATCCAGATCATTGTCCGATAATTTCCTGCACTGCTAAAAAAATTCATTAACCAAGACATGACCCTCGCTACAAGGATCTGATTCATGTCCACAAGACAATTTAGAATGCGGGTAAAGTTTTCAAGCCGGAAGCATAGCTTTCAAGGATATATTTTTCTTACAGGAAGGATAAGCTCAAAAGTCTATACAGCTCTTTAGGTGATTCACTACGAAACCCATTACTTGAACACAGTCTGGATCATGATCCAGACAATCGGGGGTCCCTGCGTCATGATCCAGACTGTGTTGCGACGTCGGGTGTGTAGGATTGCACATGCAGAATCGAGACGACGACGTAAGTGGAGCGGCATCCCTCCCTCCCTCGTTTGGAAATCCATGCATGTCGGCTCCGATTTGCTGCTCGCGTTGCTCGCGGCGATGGCTTTGCTTCCCACTTCCATGGCTTCACTGCTCTGCCACTCACCGCGGCGCTCCCACCGACGAACGCACGGACCGCACGACGATAAATTTGTCGTCGTCATACTCATCGTTGTTGTCTGATTTCTATGTCGATGCGTGTGAGCGAAAGCATTTGTTCGTATGTGGTTTTGAATATCGTCTTGTAAAATGTTTCTAGTAGCTATGTTGGAAAATTTATTGTATACTGCTTATATGCTGTTCATATTAATGAATATATAGGGGAATGTTATATAGACCCAGGTTTTTACTAAATGGACTTATCCATGATAAAAAAATATAATAATCATGATGAATGTGGTTGATTTTCAATGGTTTTGGATTTAGTAGTGGAAAAATGAATCTAGTGGTTAATTTTATTTTCATGATGGTTAGGATGGGTGGATAAATTTAGTAAATTTTTTGTTCTATTTAACATTCTTAAAATATATATATATATATATATATATCTTATAAATATATACAAAAATTAAATAACTTAAATTAATCTAAAAAATATAGTTTTTTACATCTTATTTAATTAAATCTTTACAATTCTTATATTTCACAATACCTTTTCTATTTTTTTTCCTTTACACTATTACAATTATGACATCAATTTCTATAAAATAGAGTTAATACCTCCATCATCCATTTATCTTGTGATTTTTTGACATTTACTTGTTTAATTGGTAAAATTTTGATAATGTTTTACTATTTTTGTAATTTATCTAATCTACCTAGTACTATTAGTTTGACCATTTAATTTTTTTGATTTTAGATGGTTTATATACAAGCCTTCAATAAATTATAAAATTATTATTTGAGCTTTTAATCAAATTATATATAGAAACTTAAGTTAGAAAAATTTAATCTTGTATTTTATTTGGTAAGTGAACATAAGAATAAAATATAAAACTTTAATTTTACAAGAGGTTTATGCTTTAAATTTATATATATATATATATATATATATATATATATTATTGGGTGACATTCAAAACACTCTTCAATTTCATAAAAAATTTTAAACTCAGATATACATACTCACATCACAATTATATAAATGCATAAAATCACCTTTTTTTAAAAAATTCTTCTTCTATTCTTAATCTCTATTTTTAAAAATAAATAAATAGATAAATAAGAATTAGATATATCTACAATACAATGATACTCTTGTCATTATGAATGCACAAAAAAGAAAAAGATACACACACATAGTAACAATAACCTTATCCAACATATACTATAAAAACTAATAAACTTTATTATCACTAAGATTTTAAAAATAAAAATTATTTATAGTTAAATACATAAATAAAAATATATCATTAAAAACAGTAAGATATATACATATATACATATATATAGTTATTTATTGATGTTGATGTATATTCAAAGTACTATAATTTTTTGTGTAATTTAAAAATTTTAATAGTTAGATAATATTTTTTATACATCCTATTATAAAAAATTGAGATATATTATTTTTATTCAAAAAATTATTATAAATACCAAAAAAAACATATAAATTAAGATACTAAATGATAGAATAAAATTTATTTTTTAAAAAATTACAATTTTATAATTTTAAGAACAAATTTATGATAGGAGTAGATGAACATAAGATTTATTTATGTATTTTTATTATTAATTATTAATTATTTTTTAAATAAATATAATCATTTTTATTATATATTTTTAAAAATATATAAAAGTTACTCAGGCACTTAAAAGCATAATAAGAAGTATGCACATAAATTAAAAAATTATTAATAATATGTTTTAAAGAATATTTTTTCAATAAAAAATTTATTATTTATTTTTAATAAAAAAATATTTTTAATAAAAAAATATTATTAATATTTATTTTCAAATTTAATAACAAAAGTATCCGTATCATTTAAGATGGTCAAACCCTAAACTTATGTATTTTAATCTTAAAAGTTTTCTTGAGGATTTGAATCTAAATATTGTAATTGACGTTAGAATTTGATGTGGCACTATCATCTTAAGATAGATTATAAAAATATTTATATTTTTTTATAATAATTCTCATTCTATCTAAAAAGGACAATTTTAATCTATGCTAGAATTATGTTTTTTTGATGCATTGCAGAACATATTCACCATTTATTATTTTAAAAAAAACTAATTTAAAAAAAATTAATATATATATATATATATATATATATATATATATTTATAAAATATCTAAGTTTTATTAAATATTTAATTATAAATCTAACTATTACTAATATAATACGAAATAAAATTATTATTAGAATATATTCAAATTCATAAAGGCTTTGTGATTATAAAGTTATCATAGCAAAAATATATGACAAAAATGATAATATTTTTTATTTTAAAAATTAAAAATTAAAAATTAAAATTAAAATTTAAAAATTAAAATTAAAATTTAATTAGTTTTATATTTTAAATTTAATAATTTTTATATTAATTTTATATTTTAAATTAGTTTTAATTATTATTTATAAAATTACAGAATCTAGTTATATATTAATATTCTAAACAAATTATTTTTTTGATAAAACTTTGATGTATCACAAGATAATATAAGAAATGAAATAAATAAAATAATTGCTATGTAAGAGCTATACTATTTGCTTATGGTTAATAAAACATTAAACTTAAGATTTATTTCTAAATGTTTTACATTAAAATTTTAAAAAATACTTTGTATAAATATGTTTTTAATTATTACTATTGAGTCTATTATTATCACAAACATCTTTACTATTTAAATCTTATGATATTTTAAATAAAATAAATAAAATATGAAATAAAATTATTTTATAAATAATCCAAAATATTGGTATAATAAGAATTTAAAACTAGAACTTCATTAATAATGGAATATAAGTGTTACACAAGGCTATGGTTAGAAAAATGTTTAAACATAATTAGATCTAGTATGTTTGAAGTAGGTTTTATTATTATAATTGAAAAAAAAAAAGAATTAATAATAAGTAATAATAATATTGTATTAGCAAGGTTTGGATAATAAGTATATATATATATATATATATATATATATATATATATATATATATATATATATATATATTTTAAGAATCAAAAGATTTAAATTAAATTGATACAATAGAACTAAGATATTTTGTATTATAAATTTGTATCTTAAAATTAAATACAACAAAATTATTAATAGCAAAGTATCAACATCAAAAATAAATAGAAATAATAACTCAAGTGATTATATTTAGATATTAAACAAAGACAATGCAAAAAACTTGTAAAACAAAACTGGAGCCTAATTTAATACAAGATGGCCATATTTAACAAAAAACTTTGTTTAATAAGTCTTTTCATCTTAGTTTTAATTAAAGCTATTTTAATTTATTAAATTGAATAATTCTTTAAAATATTTAAATTAATAAAAATATTATCTATATATAAGTATAATAGTTAATTAATATTTAATAAAAATTGAAGTATAAAAAAATAAATAAATATTTCTAATTTTTTTAATATTATTAATATAATATTAATAGATTAGAAAAAAATAGAATAAAGATATAATTATATTAGTTTTTTTATATATATATTTGTTTAAAATAATTTTTTTTCAAAGATATAAATTACAAAAAATTAAACCTCAATATTTTCTAAAATCACTCAAAAATAATAGATATTTACTTATAATTAATATAATACTCAAAATAGAATGACTATTGTCAAAGACAAG